TGGGCTTAAGCGATTCTTTTGCCTCAGCCTCCCAAGTAGCTGGGACCATAGGCACCCGCCATAACGCCTGGCTATATTTTGTTGCGGTTGTCATTGTTGTTTAGCTGGCCTGGGCAGGGTTTGAACCTGCCACCCTTGGTGTATGTGGCTGATCCCATAACCACTTCTGTCCCTTTTAATGGAACTTTATTTCCTGAGCAGTTGCAAAGGCATAAGAACAGAGGTGTCCAGCTCTGCAAATTCTTTGTAAGACATGTGTTCTAGGGCTGCCTCTGATATGGCTTTCTGTTCTGAGAGTTTCCTAGATACTGTTTCCAGGTCGAGCCTGCCAGGTGTCAGGGTGGAGGGGCTGCCAGATGCCCCACATGGATCTGAAACAAACTGGTTATGCAGGATTCTTGGCTGCTTGCAGGGAGTATGCTCTTGGCCTGAGTTTCTGTCTCTCTCCAGTGGTTCTACTGCTCTGGGCATGTGGTGGGGTGATTCTGGCTCTGCCCTTTGCGGGGTGGTCTTGTTCTTGTGCGTCTCTTCCAGGTTTCTGAACTCTGCCTCCCATGCCTGCTAACCCTGACTGCCGTACAGAGCAGTTAACTTCTAGAGCCTTCTCCCTGTGGAGGCCTACAGGCCACATCCACTCCACCATCTCAGTGCCCCATCTGGAGAGTATTTGTATTGCTTAACCTGAAGCATAAACTGAAATTCACCACCAATTTTAGAGTTTAGAAGTCTGAGATCAAGGCATCAACAGGGTTGGTTCCCAGACCTCTCCTGGCTTCTGGTGGTTTGGTGGCAATCTTTGTTGTTCCTTGTCTTGTAGAAATATCACCCCAATCTCTGCCTTCATCTTCACACTGCCTTCTCCTGTGAAAGAGTTGGCTGAGATTTGTTCTGTAGGGTCTGAAAACTAATAAATTGATAGGAATCTAGTGTGAATCAGTGTTTCATAGTTTTAATAAAAAGATATACCAATAGTAGGTGACCTAGCCAGGCCTGGTGGCATGCCTGTAGTCCCAGCTACTAGGGAGGCTGAGACAGGAGGATCACTTGAGCCCAGGAGTTTGAGAATAGCCTGGGCAACAGAACAAGATCCCATCTCTAAAAAAATAATAATACTAGGCTGGGTGTGGTGGCTCATCCCTATAATCCTAGCACTCTGGGAAGTAGAAAAATTAGCCCAGGTGGTGGCAGGCTTCTGTAGTCCTAGCTACTTGGGAAGCTAAGGCAGGTGGATCACGTGAACCCAGGAATTTGAGGTTGCTATGAGCTATGATGATGTCATGGCACTCTAGCCCGGGTGACAGAGTGAGGCTCTGTTTCAAAAAATATAATAATAGTAATAGGTGTCTCAAAAGAGAGAATTAGTGCATATTCCTGTGGGTGCAGGAAGAAAGGGATATCTGGCAGTCAGTCCCACTCTTCTCCCAGCGCCGCCAGGGCCTGAT